GAAAGGGATACAAAAATAAAAGAATTCAAAATATATTCTTATACTAATTCAGATTGAAATAGATGCAGTTTTGCAGTTGTCTGTTCAGATTTACGTTACAACTTGCCAAATTACTAGTGTAACTGAGTAATTGCAGACCAAATGCCTTTTGAAAAGGGTAAGTCATATAGCGAATGTGGTTGTCGAAGACGGCAGAGAACGACCGAAGCCAACAGGGCATTTGGCTCTGGGATATCTCGCCTCAGACTCAGCGCCACTCATCTTTATATCATTCGGCTCATTAATGGCTAAAGGGTTTAGCAGACATCGGCGTAACTTCTGCATTTTATTGCAACATTTTCATTAAAATTTTGACTTTTTTCACTATATAGGGACGATTAACCGTACATATGCTCCGAACATTATACGCAATATGAATGTCTTAATACGAAAGGATATCTACTCTAAGGGACGATTCAAAAAGGTGTATACTGGTAGATGCAGCTTAAAATGTTAGTTCCAGTTCTGACTTCCATATCTACCGAACATTTCTCTAGAAAAGTTATGGATTTTTTCCTCTGTTTACGTAACAAATCAAAAATGCATAGACTTCAACAATCAAAACAGCATCGAAAAACTTGGATATAGAAGTATTAAATCATACAAGAATAACTTCGTTCCATTTTCAGGTTGAAATTAGCGTTTCAAAGCAATCACTAGGATATTCTTGGCAGAGAAAATTTTCCATAACTTTTTCGGAAGTATTTACCACTAAGAATATCAGTATTCTGCAGGAAAAAGCAGTGCGGGGCTTTTTCCGCACATCCTTTTCTTGAGCGCTCATAGATAAAGATCGCATTCCTTCCTCACTTCAATCTTGAAGCTGACTAAGGCCGCGGCCCTGTTATCTGATCTATGGGTGCGCCTATCTATTAAATACCTATGTGAAAGCCTGAAACACAATCTACATAAGGAGTTGCGGCTCTGGTCATTTCACTATTGGAGCTTGGGAAGGGTGTAAGCTCTATATATGAAAGTTTAAGAAACTGTTTCGAGATTAAGTCTCGGAGTTTTCTTACTCATCTTGGCAAAAATGCTTCAGAGGTGCAGAGAAAATTGTACTTAACTTCATTGGAAGTTTGAGTAACTAAAGTAACGATCCATCTGTGGTATATATCAACTGAACTAGGGAGGTAGACGCGATTCTTTTTTCACTTAAAGTTCAAAAGGTAAAATCAACCTTCTAACAGAAGATAATAAAAATGCTTGTGAGCAAAGGGACGATGCATCGAGCCTCTGAGTTACGAGCGCTGAAAATTTCAAGGTTAGCTGTTTCTGCAACCCAGAGGGATAGTGATTTTTCTCAGTTTTATATTCCTCTTCTTTTTGTACGACTTGTCATAGATCACTCCAGCAGCTACTTGACTGCCTATTCAAAAGAACCATGGCCTCTTTGCCTGCGATTTTGTGAATTTACAACCGTTTTTTCTTACAACTCGTATTTTATTCAACATTATCGTATTTTCGATCATCTTCCACGTCAGTCATTACAATCTCATGAGGGTGCAAAGTATGGTGGCAAGCTTAATAAAGCGCTTTCGCAGTTGAGACAACGTCACATGCAAAGGAGGAGGTAATGACTATAGCACGATTTGTCTAGATGGGATAAAAAGCTTTCATTATGGTTTGATGATGACACAAAGAAGTAGACTATCGATAATACGGAGATTGGTGAAAGTGCGCAGCAAGGCGCGCATAAATACGCAATTTTGCGAGGCAGGACCACCCTCTTACTTATTTCGTGGAATGGCAGCCAAAACCTGCTGGAGTCTACAGATTTTGTACTTTAAGAAGGGAAAAGAGAAAACATTCAATAAATCCACACACTGTTCTTGA